AAAACACAATTTTCTCATAAGTATCCAACGACGCGGAAGTTCAGCGCAAATAGTACCTACTGGGTTACACATAAAAGATCCACACTTGCACCGCATTGTCATCAGCTGTCTTTGATTTATTTTTAAATGGTAAGTTCAGCAGTGGATCCGCAGTAATTCAGAAAATACGAGCTAATTTGAACATATACGATTTGCATATCCATTTATTCACATTACGATGCCTATGACAATCAATTAGTCTAAGCAGCAGCGATGAAGACGGGGGTTACGAATTTAAAAGATGGATAGAACAGATGACACATGAATTCACATACCAAACTCATTTCCTTTACCTGGACAAAATATGAGTAAATACAGAAAACGTACGATCTTTTCAGATTGAAAACTACATTGTTCCATCATGAGTCAAGTAAAGAAAACATCATCACGAGTTAGTTCATACAATAAACCCCTCATGACAACCGGCTATGACACCCAGCCAATAAAAGCTGAACAAAATGTTGACTAATTTGAACACCAATTCTTTGCTAAAGGAGCATTGCTTTTAGTTCATATTTATACGAAAAGCATTAACCTTTAAATTTACTCAGACAAAATGAACAAAAAAAGCTCAATGCGATCGATAGAAAATTTATTTGTAATTTATAATTTAAAATTTATAATGCGATCGGCACAATATTCAATTTATTTGGAACAAAAAATACAAAAACGAGGACTCTTTATTTCTTTGAAAGTCACATTTGATGAAATCTTCATCCAAGAACAAATATAGGCTTCTGCCAAAAAAAAAGTAAAAAAACTATTTTTGGTACAAATTAATGAAGACACTTTCTTTTTTTTCTGAAAAAAAAGCCGCAAGCATAAAACAATAATTCAACGAAACAAAGAAAACTGAAAATATAACATTTTAAATCAAATGCGATAACTTTTTTGAACAATTACACAAAAATAAAAAAAACTTCCTTCATCACTTTAGCCAGAAAAACGTAACCTTAACTGAAAACCTCATGAATATTTGACATAAACAACTAGTTTAAAATGACCCAATCCATAAGATGAAATCTTGACACCAAAACCTCAGATGTTTCACACACAAAATCCGAGATATAACAAGTATAACCGGTTACTGTGCAAGTAGTACAATTTTCCGACCATAGTCTTTAAAAAAACACGAGATTTTTTCTTCAAATTAATGTTATTTTCGCCGTGATGTAAAAAGGCGCTGAAAATCTCAAAAAAACTAACGCTACTCTAGTAAAACTTCAATTTTTACGTTTTAAATTAAGCTACTGTAAGCTTTTAAGCCATTAAAATAAGCTATTGTTAGCCTGCTTGATTGCTTTATTCGCTCGAATTAAGATACATAACCGGTTGTTCTCGACACTGGAAAAAAGTGCTTGGAAACTTTTGGGGTCGTTCGAATCACGACTGTAAGGGCTTTAATATGATGGATCACTCAACTCTCTCCGATGATTATTTGTGGTAGCTGATTTTAAGTGAAAAACAAAGAAAAACAACGCACCCGAATACAAAGTTCCTCCCAGCCGTTTACCTTGTTACAAGTACCGATCGAAAAGCTCGTTTTGAAGATCGTCTCGCCAGACCAAGTTTCGTTCATCATCTTGCCATTGAGGCGAAGTTTGTATTCGGCACAGAGTCTCAAGTCATCGTTATTTTTATCGGGACTGGGGTTGTATTGATATCGCTTCCATCCCAGTTGCGATGGTTCAACTACACGCTGTTAAACCATGTCGCGTACGTTTGATTTCTTGAGTGCTTTGCAGAAAAAGATTCAAACTCGGGCTTCAGCTTTTATTAGTCGACTAACGGCAATGTTCCTGATAAACCATGTATCGCATCTTCGGTTGATTGAACAACTGACGGCGGTAGATTTGTGATGAGTCGACCGCTCCATGACGGATCACAGCATCGGTGTTCACTTGAAGTAGTGTTTGTATCCAACGCATGCTTCTAGGTTCCGAGCGGTCGCAACTAGAGTGGGTTTTCCCTTCTTGAAACCTGACAAAAGCACCGTTTTTTAAGCACCTATATCTACTTGCATGGCCACCTAGTTGCCTTCTTTGATGACACTCTCGTTTGCGGCAAACAGGTCACTGAGAGTTGAACTGAAGAACACTCCTACTTTAGTGCCGTTTTCTGTTTTCATGATTTCCCTGTCTGAGAACTGAACTCTTTAACTAGTCGGTTACTCTCTTATCAGTACTAAAATTACCAGTACTGAAGGCTACCTTACTCTGACGTTTTACTGCAGAGAATCACAACTCAATACATGAATTATATTTCTGATCCGTTAAAGAACAAGACTTAAAAAACAAGAACTAAAAAAGTGTCACTTGCTTTAGTGAGAAAATTCGTCTCCATGAAATTAATTAGAACCCGTAAGACAAAAATTTGAGAAAACATTTCTGATATATTAATTAAAAACGAAGAGAATAGAGACAAATCCTAGAGGAAACAAGAGTAGCCGGTTGCTGTGCTAGTACCACTGAGTTCCTAGAACAAAAATATATAGATTTTATCATATGCTTTCTTATCCGCAGTGTGATGAGAGGATCTGCACGAAAGACTAGAACTACGGCAGGTTCGATAATTAAAATAAACTAGGCATATTCGAGAACGGGTTTCTTTGAAAAAAGAACAAAAAATCATGAAAATTTAGACATATTACACTTATCTCCAATATTTCAAATATTAAGTCTACTTGAGTAAAACTACGGCTTAGTTTCCTCTAATAACCCTGATAGCTCATTTTTTTGAAATTTGACAATACGTCTAAAAATTAAAGGCGGACTTCAAATCACGACTGTAATGGGTTTAAAAGAATATGTCACTCGACCCGAAACGAAGATAATTTGCGGATCTGAACTTGCGAAAACAAAAAAGAACAACTAACACACCGGACGACAAGATTCCGTTTTAGTGGTCAGAGCAAAATAAAAATTAAAAATAAACACACCATAACTTAAAATCATTGAAGCAAAGTTAATGCGTACGTTTTTGCGGAACACTTATGCCGAAAAATTGTGACAAAACACCACCGCTTAGTAGCGAGAAAAACCGGCGGAGTCTAGCATACCTCTTGAGAAAAAAAAGACATACAAGTGTGAAACGCAAGATACAAGTTGTAAACATGATTCATATATTCTACACAGAGGCCAAACCGGAGCTTCGCACCACGTGCGATACAACACAATCATAAAAAATGCATGTCGAAAAAAAATAAAAAGTTGAAATAACAAGGTGAGCCAAAATTTTCGTATGACTTGATGAAGGACACCTAACGCTCAGCTAAAGCTGGAGGAAATTATTTAATATTTTTGAATTTGTTATACTGATGCTGGACGAAATGCGTAATTTCAAAAATTAGACTTTGCCGAAAACCTTAGTTGTTTCTCAACTGAAGTGAGCAGAGTGAAAATGTTTTGAGATTTTGGAATTTTCGCAAAGACATAGCCTTTCTCTAACAAATCATTAAGGAGTAACCGCTGCTGCAGGAAAAACTCGCGCAACCGCACCTTTCGATAGAAATTTTCATCTCAGATTTGATAGAGTAGTTCTTAAGAAAATTCAAAAGTTTCTATAAAATAGTCAAAATTCAAAGATTAGTAAACTTTTCTGCTAAAAGCAGGTCGCGGTTAAAAGGGTTAAAGCAGAGAAGATTCCCAAAATCGTGTTTCTCGATTGAACACTTAACCTGAGAATTGGCAAATATTTTTCGAGTCGAGCAAAATAGACTACCAAAAAAAACAGTCCAACTTTCAAAACTTTTACTTGATTAAAGGCCATAACATTTTAGAAAAAACTGGGCGTAACAAATTATAAAGTTAAGCTGCTAACAACCAGTCTGGTCGATTTAACTTATGATATCAATTTTGGCATAATAGTTATCGAGAAAAGACTTAAAAAAACGGTCAACAAATCAGAGAACTTTTTGTTTTGAAAAATTCGGCTTAGCCGTTATGTAGTAGAGATTCACCCAGTCTGTTAGTTATTAAGTTAGATTGAACCCAAAACCTCGGTTTGGCCCGGTAGTTCTCGAGAAAAAACAAAAGTTTCAAAAACAAAACGGTTGAAAAATAAAGTTCGACTTTTCGAATGCCATTAAAATTTTGAAAAATTTGGGCGTAAACGCATATGCAAGGAGCTTCCCACGACCCGTTCTTTAGATTGAATCCAAAATATCAGATATGGAAGGGTCTTTTTGGTTTTTGAACAAACTTCAAAAAAAGCCCAAAAAAATTGACTTTTCCTAGGACGATAAATTTTGTGTAAAAAATTGTGAGTGGCACCGCTAATGCAAGGGAGCTTCCCACTACCCTTTATCTTCATTGAACCCACAAGCTAAGATTTGTGAGGTTAGTTTTTGAGAAAAATTTGAAAAAGATCTAGAAAACGGTCAAAAAAAACTTGACTATTCCGAGGGCCATAATTTTATGTGCAAAAAAACTTGAGCATAACCGCTTTTCGAAGGGAGCTTTTCAACTGCGTTCTATTCATTGAAACCAAAATATCAGAATTGTAAGTTAGTTTTTCAAAGCGTCTCAAAAAATTAAAATTAAAATTCTTGCACGTTCATAATACCAGTTTTTATCACACAGGAATCCTGGGCAAATATGCCAAGCAAGACATTTGAAATTCAAAGTGGCAACTGGACAAAACTTACGAACCTGAATCATGGCCGCCAATCTTTGAGCAGACACCAGTTGAGCCGAAAAAATCTTCCTACGTAAAAAAAAACTTTCAAGTCCCCCCTGAAACTACCCTGTCGTAACTTGTACTCAGCCAGTAGTCGAATTTGAATTTTCACGAAATTGAGCATGTCAACTGAAGAGCATGCGAGGTGAAGAGCATTGAGCATGTCAAGAGATTCGACTGATTTTGTAAAACTAGTTGTTAACTAGAAAAAGTCTAAATTCCAGTTTGATAACGCTTGCTTATCGCAAGCGTAACAAACTGATATTAAACACAAAAATCGATTACAAAATTTTATTTAGAAGCTCAATCAAACCAAAAACTAATTGAGAAACTAGGATCCAGCGACTTCACAAAATGCCAACACTTCGGCGGAATATAGATCATATCTCCTGGGTTCAACACAGCTGTAATCTGATTGGCTCGTTCAAAGAGGGGAAACTTTTCTTTGTCGACGTTTTCGACGTCTACTTGACTGGTGTTCAGCAGAAGGGGATCATCTGATGCAGGATAGACGTACTCGGAGTCACAGGCAGGTATCAACACCAACTGCTTCCTTCCGAACACCTGAAAGTACTGATAATTGAAAAATACGATATATGGTCACCTTCATTGCTAATTACTGCTGCTTAACTTGTGAGGGGACGAGTTCGTTGTGTAAAAAGATAAATTGCATCAACAGATTGTAGCATTCGCGCAAAGTCCAGAGTTTTTATAATTGCCGTAAATCTTACAATTTGGAGCTTGAAGTTTATCAATCGTTCAAACTTTACAACCTTATAGTTAGTGCAATGCAAAATCAGTAACACATGCGAAGCTTAGGTTTGCACAATCATTAACACAGGTGATGCTTAGGTTTGCATGATTTGCGATACAAAAATTAAAGAACCTGATGAATAAAGGAAAACCAAAAAAAAAAAATAATAAGAACCGCCGGTTGCTGTTCAAGTAGCACAGAAAGTACCGACCCTGATACTAAAAAAACTGTATGAAAAAATTATTAAACATGAATTTTCTAAAAAAAAAGAGAAGAGAAAGATTAAAAATATATATATCCAATTTTTTTTCATAATTTGCGAATTTTATATATTTTTCAAAAATTCTTTTCTGAAAAGGGCTCTGAAAGAAAAATCGGAAACTTATTTTACTGGAGTAAATTCACGAGCTTGAATTATAAGCTATTATAAGACCTACGACTCGCTCGCTTTACTTGCTCAAAATTAGACTAAAACTGTGAATACTTTTTGAAAACTTATTAATGTCAATGTCATTCCATTCACGACTGAAAGGGCTTCAATATTATTTATCACTAAATCTTTTCAAATGATTATTTGTGGTACCTAGTTTTCGTGGAAAACAAAAAAAAACTACTGCACACCCAAAAACAAAGTTCCTTCCCATTGAACGACGAAGTGACTAACACGAATCCAAAGAAAACCAAAAAACAAATCATTTTTCTGGAGAACTTAATTATTGCGAAAAAATGAGCCAGCAACTGTTGTGTTCCCTTTTAACCTAAAACAAAACCTTTGCTCTGGCAAGTTTGAACCTGAAAAATCAATAGTTTAGTGAAAGACGCCGAAAAATAACTGTTAAATTTTCCAACTTCCGAGTATTATACGACAATAAGATCATCGCAAAGCTCTTTCAATTTCAAGTTTATTTGTGAAAAAACTCACCCAAATTGAGAAAACCATATCAACAGGTACTTTTTGATTACGCTTCAATTCTAAGTATGAAATATATTTGACACAGAAGTCTGCGACAATCCATTTGGCTATTCAGAGCGTACTTGAAGCTCAGATTAAAAAGGATTCTGAAAAAGGACCTTCTGGAAGAATCGAAAGCCAAACTACCAAAAAACGATACGAGTGCAAACAAAACTGCAATCTTTTCCGAAAATAGAAAAACGGACAAATTTCAGAAACCAACCTTTGATCAGTACAATGCAATTTTTAGTCAACAAAATTTTATCCAAAACAAAATTTTATCCAAAACAAACTTTTGTTGAAAGTCTTTATATCAGCCAACAGTTTCAGGACTGTACTCAAGCGTAGGTGACATTTAATTAGTTTTACTGAGCTGATAAAATATTGACATTAGTTTTCTGATCCAATAACGCTGAGCAAGGAAATGATTCAAATGTTCGCTTGGAATGTGCCTCGTAATATGGCAAGAACTGGACTTGTGGAAACAATTTGTGACAACTGTTTTTGAAAATTACCGAATTTTTATTTTATTTTTGTCGCAAAAAAAATTACCTGACAGAGTAGGTTTCGTCTTGGATCTTGGTGCAGCGGAGATACTGTTCCAGCTGGTCCAAACCACGAGTTGATTAGAACATCACCCTTCTCGGCCCCATTGATCAATTCAGGAGTCATGTAGCAATAATCGGGGATGGTAATATCCTCTCTCAACAAGGGAACTTGTCCAAGAAAATCATGCTGGGCAAGGTATCCTGATTAAAAGGCTGGTCATTTTGCTGTTTTATATTCAATATAAATTTCTTTAAACAGATAAATTTCTTTCTTATTTAGTTATGATTAACATAACATTTCAAAAAAAACTAATTTGATAAAAATTAAATTAGAAACATTGAATCAATAAGACACCTAGCGAAACTCATTTCTAATCATTAAAATCTATGCAAAAAAAACAAACGCGGATTCAGCATCTCTTAAAAGAAATTTTGCGAATCCAAAAAATTTGAGCTTTTTTCTGAGCAAGTTTGTGTTGTATTGCTTTTCATTTAATCAAGAAACAAAGAAACGTCTATATTCTGAATCCGCTACAGTAAAAACTTTCACAGATTCACTACATAAAGGCACACTAATCATAAGGCTACTTTTGTAGCTAATACTAAGTAGTTAAGGCAAGTTCATTTGCATCAATAATTGCACGCTAATGTGATCTAAATCTCCGGTGACTCAAATCATTCGTTTATTTGTGATGTGATGATTTCGGCATATGAGTTGAGCTCGGGTGAGCAACAACGTCGGCTATCTTATTTTCCACATTCGTGAGTCTTTGTTCCAAAATGGCGACGGTTTGAGTAAGAGTATCAAGCTGTGATATAATTTGACTCAGAGCTAGGTTCATTTTCTTACTCTCATTCATCGTACTCGCGTTTGAGCTGCTTTTATTCGTATGAGGCGGCGACTGTGGCGGGTTGTAATCCACTTCGTTAATCACATGATTGACAGTGTCGCCAGTTGGGTTCAGAACCGAACGCGCTGATGAAATTGGAATTGAGCCCCCACCGAAAACCACTGATTTTGCTTTCGAATCGTATACACTCGGTTGATGCGGATGTGACATCATTGGCCGGTTCGGATTATTAACAGACGAAATCACCCCACTTGGAAATGCATCATTTGTACCAGTATTATACACGCGCCCCGGGGCTGCTTGATTTTCTTGATTGTTTTCCTGGTTGAAGTAGCTTGATAAGTTAGTCTTCCAGTATAACAACTGGTTATCCGCTCCCCCGGAAGCAAAATACTCACCGCAGTGACTAAACGCGACCGCAACTGCTTTTTTAGGTTGATGACCATGAAGAGTATAAATAAGACGACCTTCTAAAAGGTCAAACAATTTCAAGGTCGAATCAGATGACGCTGAAATGAGCAAATTTCCAGAAGGATGAAGACATACTGAGTTAACCTCATCGGTATGTGTTTGATAATGTTGAAGTAGCTTGTTGGTTCTGATATCCCATATCTTTATAGTCGAATCCGAGTTTCCAGCTGCGATGCAAGTGCCGCTAGGGTGAAACATCAAACTGTTCACGTGACAATTAAGTTCATTGAATGTATGAACACATTCCTTGGTTGACTTATCCCAAATTTTTATGGTTTTGTCATCGCTTCCTGAGACTAAGATCCTTGAATCCGGAGCAAACCTTGCAACGCGTACCCAATTCGAATGGCCGCTTAGAGAAAACTGGAACTTTTGTCGATGAACAGTGAATAGTTTGACTGTTTTGTCATCAGACGATGTGCATAAAAGCTCACCATCATGTGAGAAGTCCACAGATCTGACGGTTGAAGTGTGTGCTTTGAAACTAGAACTTTCACCTTTTATAGTTGGCACCCAAAGCCGAACTGTTTTGTCTCTGGAAGCACTAGCGACTAATTGTCCGTTCGGGGAAAACCGAACGTCCATTACCGCATCTTCATGACCTTGGTACCGAAAAGACCGGTTCTGACTCTGGTTATGCTTGAGGTTCCATACTATTAGGCTGCTATCGTAAGACCCAGATGCAGCTTGTTTGCCGGTAGGGTTGAAACTTATTGATGTTATTGTGTCTTTATGGGCTCGAAAGTACTTTTCAAGCGACGGGTCAGTGTTCTCCATCGACTATCTGAAAGATAATTAGAACCATCATAACAAGGACAGCCAGAAATCGAAACTATGTCGTTTTCTATGCGTGGCGTTATGAGAAGAATTACACAAGAGCTTGAAACATAGAAAATTAGGCATTATTGAATACATTTGGCTTCAAAAAAATCAAACAGAGCCAACAGACAGGAAGAAAACAAATCAATAAAAGCCAGGAAACAAAAAAAATACTGATTTGTTTATAAAAAAAACTTCAACTTTCGAATTTCGAAGAAAAAATAGGTGGCCTTAAACCTCTGAATTTCTAGAACAATATATGATAGACACTTTTTGTGATGAAATTAACCCAATTTGAGAAAACTGGATCTATATATGAAACTTATACTTCGTCGGAAAATCTGATAATTAAATTTCATTTTCAAAATTAGAAGTCGATCACGTTTTTCGTGACCTTTACACTTTCACTGGAATTTATGACCTTTACACTTTCACTTCGATAATGGAATTTGTCTTCCTTTCAACAGAGGAAATGAACTGAACTTAAAAAGAGATCAACATTCAAACCGCGAAAAATAAAACAGAGCATGAACAATCTTTAAGACTTCTCCTGAAAAAAATATATCATCACGACCTATAAAGAAGTCTGAACTACGTTCATCGACTCTTTATAACAAAACAAAAAAAAACTTAAAACGAATTTTTGCAGATTTTTTCAAACCTTTTTATTGCCAAGGAAGAAATAGTGGAAGCTTTGAAAACAATTTTTCCTGTAGTAAAACTTAATTTTTCACGGCTCAAGAACTTTTTTCAAGTATAACACCTACTCGTTGCTTTACTCGCTCGACATTGCGCAAAAAGGGAGTATTTGGAAAAAAAACAATCAGAAATAAAAGTTTTTCCCCAATTTGTGTACGGAATAAACAAGCAAAAACACAGTGTGTTTCCTCCCAACTTTCAGTGTGTGACTAGTATAAAAAATGTTCCACAATGAAGACTTTTCCACTCTTCGCTAAATTTGTAATTTGTTCCTGAATAGCAAAAAATGCATGCCCGTCTTTTTTTACTCTAAACATCTGTTTAACGATTAATTTTGGAATCTCAATTGCGATTAAAAGCGCCGCGCTCGATATTATACCAACCAAGTGTTCCATGAGCGTTCTTTCTAGTACATGATTTTGCGTGAAAAATGAACTATTCGCATGAAAATTTCCCTTAATGACCAGCCTTTTACGGATTCCTGCGGTGCGAAGTAAGTTTCGACAAACTTGTACAATGGCATTATTTGCTGCGTCCAGTCCTCATCATTGTACTTGGATCCTATCTCTATCGGCACGTGCCTGTAAGCGCAGATCTTCTGGAACAACATAAATTTCAAGGATTTCTAATGAGCATATTTTCCGAATTATTACTGAGAACGCGAAATATCTTACCAGAATGTATTTGAGAGACCAACGTTTCAGTGCTGGCCAAATTTCTAAGGCACCAGTTATTTTGAATGGCAAATCAGCGGCTATAAGTTTCAAAAACTCTTCGCAAACAATGTTTTCGTGTTCAGCGATAGAAGAAGGTCTTGATATTCTGGAATCGGCTTCAATGCACTATTTCAAACAAACAACAAAATTCTAGTACGCGCTCAAAAATTTGAATCCATTATCAATTTTTTCTTTACTAACTTCTATCAGTTCTAATTTATCATTTTGCTCAAGAGAATCGTGGATACCTTGGGCCAATGTTGTCAGTACATTTTCGACATCACCACCCATGATAATGCCATAGTCAAGGAATTTCAAAGCCTGTAACTTGTTAGAATTGCTTGATAGACATGCCAAAGCAGCTGTTGTTGAAAAAAAGGAATATGCGGAACGCCAATAATGCGAAACGAGACTCCAGTGTCCGGTGTGTAATCGCTCCCATACAAAGTCCAGACAAACTTGGCTCATTTTCAAAGATATCTTGGGCGAATGCTTCAAGGATTTTTCTATTAAACTTTTGTGCGCAGTTAAAAACGGGCTTTGACTGACAAACTCAAAATCTTTCGCAAACAAGCCATCTAGTTCAACCTTAACAGACATGAATAAATTCTGAAACATAGCCAACGAACAATTGGAAAAATGTTAAAGGACACGACGAATAATATACTGCAAAAACGTGAGACAGACAGAAATCATTTCAGAAGCAACCTGCTAATTTTGAACAAATTTGCTTTTTTTGTGCTACAACAGTTTTTATCGGAAAACTAGATCATGCATTCGAACATTTTCTGGAAATAGGTAGTTTGCTCTTTTCAAATCATTATTTGTTTCAAGTTTTTGCATATTACAAGGGTAATACTTGATGAATCAACCCAATTTTCAAAAATGTAGAAAAAGTATTCTGGTAATCCACTGGAAAAATATTGGTTCCGTAGCAGTATTTAGACAACTGCGTAATCATACTCTTCAGAAAGCAGACAAACACTATAATAACCAATCAGAATTGAAACAAGTAAAAACTTAAATAAAAATTACTTATTTCGTAAGTTTGCTTTCCCATCTCGGTTCTGATTGGTCATTTTAGTATTCATCAGCTTACTGACGAGTATGAATCGCTTTTTGTTTTATAAAATCAGAAGGTCGAAGTATTATAGTAACCGAGGTTACAGTCCGGGGTCCCTTCAGTCTCTAAGTAACTCTCCAAACAGAAAATCATGCTTATTCAAATCGTCCAGAATTGTTTAAAAACACCCACTGCGCGTACAGTAAACATAGTTACCTTTTTTACAGAAGCTCTATTATGTCAGAAGCAGGAAATGAACAGGCGATCCTGCAGCCCACCCTTACTGCAGTCGAACAACTAGAGCCGAAAATTAACATCTGGTATTTAGATGATGGAAATTTAGCCGACAATTATAAGTCAGTACTCCGGAACCTTAAAGGCACTCTGAAATCGGAACAATCTTACTGCCTGAGGTTGAATAATGAAAAGGGTCGAAGTATGTTTTTTTTGGGACCGACCACGAGTAGACAGTACAATTCAATATCAACTCAATTTCGAAATAATATATTCAAAAAATATATTTAAAAAATGAAGAGCTTCTTATACCAGGATCTCCAATCGGCGACCTTTGTCAAAAACAATCACTCGACAAAAATTAAGGAGCTTGAAATAATCCCGGATGTCTTTGACAAAACAGACGCCCCTCAAGGGTTTCACCTGGAAAATTGATTTAGCTTGGCATGTTTTTTGGAACGCTACGACAAAATACTAAAAAACCCGTTATGCAAGGTCGCTAATGTGAAAATGGATTGTAACCATTTTTTACAAGCAATTCTCTAGGTAGCTAAAGATGACTTGGGTTTTTCTTCCTTCAGTCTACTAGCTTTTAATGCTTTCGCTTTCTCGCCAAAACGAGCGAAAAGCCTCAACCCAAAATTTTGATTTGGAGCATGTGAACCTATAATGATGAGCTTAAACGGTGGTTTGAATTTTGGAAAATTGAAATGGCACAGGAAAATGATGGCACCGGACAGCGAAAATGCAGACTGATTTTAAGACTCGAACCACCGGACTTTAAAAGATTCAAAGCGGTACAAGGTAGATTTGGCTCCCAATGGTTGAACGTCATGCCGTGCAAAAATCTAAGGTTAAAACTATCGAATTAATGTGCCAGTCGGTCATATCTAGAAGTTTGACCTGGAGGGACACGAATATACGTGATTTTGGAGTGAAGTTTTAATTTTCAAAAATTCGAATGGAGCCTGTCGTGCTCAGTTTTCTCGCGACAACTGAAAACAAAAAATGAGAAATCAGAACGACCGAATTAACAATTGCGGGAAAGTTGTCAAATATATACAGTGGGAAATCGCTATTCGCAATTTTCCATCGTAGAAAACTAGAGTAGAGCTGTCCTATCTGATATAGGAGACCAAACGAACACGAGAGCAGAGCTAAAATCAACTGGACCAGTGTTAACCTTCAACGGAAAGGCGGACAAGTGAAGTCTCCCAATGGTCCAGAGTCAAACTATATTCTTGAGTTAAAACTTACTTCCCTTGATTGGGACTCATCGTTAGAAAACTTCTTGAGTTATATTTGATTATATTTATGCCAGAGTCGTTAATTAGTTTAGTTACTCTGTGTCTCAAGCGTGCTGCTATGTAAGTACCAAATTTAGTTTTCTCGAGTGTGTTTTATGATGGTTATGTTGAGATAAGGCGAGTTTTAGGTTGATCCATCTGAAATGGATTAAAGTTCCACTGTCTAATAAAAAATAACTTAACGGATTGTTCCGACCCTGTTTTTAACGGCGTTCGTGTATTTTGGGTACTTTGAGACCTAAGTATGGGCACGTTCTTATTTTCTAGAGTGGGGGGGGGTATTTTGGTAGTGGCTTTTAAGCTGTAACGGGTTTTTAGTCTCATGTCGCAAGTGAACCGAATTGGCTCCGACCGTTTTGAGGTAGAAAAACACAAGAGATAGTGTCCCTGACTCTTGAGCCAATGGTTAAGCCTATTTTTCTTAAGCCTCATATGTGACCGAAGTAGGCGACTGTTATAGATTTTTTTTATTGGCGCTCCTGGGTGTTTTTACATCATGACTACGGAGTCGAACCCATTTGACACAGCTTCGGGCTGCAAGCCCATTCTAGAGTACCGGTGGTACGGTTCAGCGGGAACGTGTAAACCTTCCGGTTGTACCTTGATAGCTTTTTAAGAAAATTTGAGAAAACTTCCTGGTACGCTCTCCGAACGAGGCCTAGCTAACCGAGTAAGGGGGGTAACTAGGGGGACAAAAACACGAGCAAAAAGACAAAAAGCGAAACAAAAACAAGGAAAAAGTATAGAAAAAGGAACAAAACCATAAAACAAAAAAGACAGTGACTTTGATACCAGATTAGTTGGATCAAACCTTTATATTAATTAAATAGTATACCCATACTGTTTTATAAGACCGATCATTTCGATCAATCTAGCAATCTAAACCAGTGACTTCAATAAGGTGCCCAAGTGGGGGCGTTGTTAAGGGTTTTTAGATAGCTTGCAACCTAGCTGGACCACTAGGAGACTTGACTAGAAAAGGTGACCAGCCGAGTGGGAAAGTGGTTCACAAGGACAGAACCGGACCACTAGGAGACTTGACTGGAAGAGGTGACCAGCCAAGTGGGAAGGTGGTGCTGGTGTCAAATGCAGTGCACGTCAAGGGGACAACCAGCACGGGATCACTACAACAAGAAGAGGACGCACAGGGGTGTTCTCAAGTTGGGCAAACGGGTATCGTTAAAATCCACATTACATTGTAGGAGATAAGTGTAAAATTGTAAAATTGGATAAGCGGAGCCCCATTGTTTTGAGGAAGTTTTCACACAAGCAGGCCTGGAAACAGGTCTACGGTTTTCTCTCGAGATTAGCATCCGGCGCTTAAGGGATTTTTCGGCTTAAGAGGGGGGCTAAAGAGGGGGAGGTTAGAAGGGGATCTGTTTAGGTTAGAGGTTGGCGGTTGTAAATTGTAAAAAGGGGGGACACATTAGAGTAGCTAATTGTTCGGCATCGTCGATTTAGTTACATTAGATACTTACACGCGTTGGTTATAAGAAGCGGATATCCAAATTTAACATCGAGTTAAGGTAGGTACCCGGGTCGGATCGGTAGGGGGGAATGGACATAGACAGTTTTCGTGATACCCCATAAGATCGCTAGCAGTGGGGAGGAAAACGCGTGGCAACCGGGTACCAGACATTTTTTCAGACAAAGGTTGACATCTGCCAACTTTGAATTTGAGGTGGGTTCATCTCTCTGTTTTTGGAATTTTTCCTGTTTAAATTTTTACGTTTTGGTGAAAATTTGTTGTTGGTATTTGAACGAACAGGTGATCACAAGATACCTGCGAGGAAGGTAGGGTTTCAAATAGCCTGAAACAACGAGAGGGAGATAAATACAGGGGGGGTCAGTATCTGGGTTTTGGCCATTAAGATAGGGATTTTGGAAAATTTTTTTTATTAGAGCTCAAGTGGTGGTACACGGTACAGTGGTTCAAGAGTCCCCACAACGAAGAAGAAGAGATCCTATATCCAGACACTTAGTGACAAGTCTTGGGACAGTACCGAAGAAGTCTTGGGACATTGCAGTCTGGGGACAGTCTTGGTGCAGTACGGTCTTGGGACAGTCTTAGGACAGTGCAGTCTTGGGACAGTCTTGGGACGGTGCAGTCTCGGGACAGTCTTGGACCAGAGCAGTCTTGGTACGAGACAGTCTTGGGACACTGGTCTTGGGACAGTAGTCTTGGGACAGTAGTCTTGGGACAGTGGTCTTGGGACAGTGGTCTTGGGACAGTGGTCTTGGGACAGTTGTCTTGGGACACTGGTCTTGGGACAGTGGTCTTGGGGCACTGGTCTTGGGACAGTAGTCTTGGGACAGTAGTCTTGGGACAGTGGTCTTGGGACAGTAATCTTGGGACAGTAGTCTTGGGACAGTAGTCTTGGGACAGTAGTCTTGGGACAGTAGTTTTGGGACAGTAGTCTTGGGACAGTAGTCTTGGGACAGTAGTCTTGGGACAGTAGTCTTGGAACACTAGTCTTAGGACAGTAGTCTTGGGACAGTAGTCTTGGGTCAGTAGTCTTGGGACAGTACCGAAGAAGTCTTGGGACATTGCAGTCTGGGGACAGTCTTGGTGCAGTACGGTCTTGGGACAGTCTTAGGACAGTGCAGTCTTGGGACAGTCTTGGGACGGTGGTCTTGGGACAGTAATCTTGGGACAGTAGTCTTGGGACAGTAGTCTTGGGACAGTAGTCTTGGGACAGTAGTCTTGGGACAGTAGTCTTGGGACAGTGGTCTTGGGACAGTAATCTTGGGACAGTAGTCTTGGGACAGTAGTCTTGGGACAGTAGTCTTGGGACAGTAGTCTTGGGACAGTAATCTTGGGACAGTAGTCTTGGGACAGTAGTCTTGGGACAGTAGTCTTGGGACAGTAGTCTTGGGACAGTAGTCTTGGAACACTAGTCTTAGGACAGTAGTCTTGGGACAGTAGTCTTGGGTCAGTAGTCTTGGGACAGTACCGAAGAAGTCTTGGGACATTGCAGTCTGGGGACAGTCTTGGTGCAGT